AGGTGAAACATGGGTATCATCAAAAGATAGGAAAACAGAACCAAATCTTGTTGTTGAAAGAGAATCTGCTACAATGCCTGAAACTCTTAAAGCCTTCAGTATTCGATTTGTCAGACTAAATGGCATCCTTTTTACTCGCACAAGGTATATAAGTATAAATATTAATTTCAGTTTTAGTTTTCTTTTCCAATAAAGCTTAATCAACTTATTCCATATTACCATCTTTCTACAGTTTGGAGACTTTTTTGGAAGTTTTCTCAGTGGCGAGGAGTGATTTTCTTCAGCTACTATCATCTGGACAAGATGAGGTGTTCAATTTTGGTTCAGATTATGGGGAGTGTAAACTCTTCATAACCAGATTCATAGCAATCATGATATTCACTGTCTACAATGTAAACAAAAAAGAAACAGAACACCAATCATACGCAGAGATTCTTCAACGATCTGTTGTCCTTCAAAACGCATTTGCTGCAATATTCGATTTCATGGCACTCATACTTGAAAGATGCATCCAATTAAATGACCCATGTGCAAGTTTTTTACTCCCTGGAATCATGATTTTTGTTGAATGGCTTGTTTCTTGTAAAGAGGATTTAGCATTAGCATCCACAAATGAAATGGAAGAGAAACAAGTGGCTGCTAGATCCTTATTTTGGAACCAATTTGTTTCTTTTCTCAACAAGCTTTTGATTGTGTCTCAAGTGGTTAATGAAAGTGGAGATGAAACACGTCTCGCATTGCCTGAAGATATGGAATTGAGGGGCTTCCTTCCACTTGTTTCTGGTCAACTCATTCTTGACTTTACAAGAACAAATTATCTGGATGGAAATAAGGAAAAGAAGGCATGCGTACAACGGATTGTAGCTGCTGGAAAGGCTCTTACTAATAGCAAGACTGTTGGTGTTAGGCAGCAAGCATTCTTTTTTGATTCCAAATCCAAACAGTTTCTCTTTGGCGTTGAGCCAGAAAATAACAACCAAGTTTCCACTGAAAACATTGGAGAAAAATTAGAATGTGAAGAGGAGGAAGATGATGAGGTTATTGTCTTCAAACCCTCTGTACCCGAGAAACATACACATACACATACAGATGGTTTGGTGTTTCCTTCAAAACTTATTGACAATCCTGCCCCTGTGCCTATCTCAATGCCACCACATGAAGCATGCGCATCTTCTGTGAATGAAAACATGGTGCAGTATTCGCAACTTGAACAACCAGAAGAATTTATTGAAAATGGTTTGTTTTCAAATCTCAACTTGTTGGGAGGAAAAGAATTTGAAAAACATTCAGGAGGAATGTCATCTGTTGGTTTCCAGGATTCTGAACGTATTATTATACCATCCAAGTTTGATTCGGTGATGACATCAGCAGCACCTAGTTTTGGCAGCGTTCCTTCAAAGACAAAGCCCATTAAGAGTCCAGTGAGCCGGCCCATACGACATTATGGGCCACCACCTGGATTCAATAACACTGTTGGTCCTAAATATACTGTGGATGAGCCTCAGCCTCAGCCTCAGCCACAGCCACTGTTTGGTGTTAACCTAAGGAATGGAATTGGAAATGAAAATCAACCTGTGGATGATTATAGCTGGCTAGATGGGTACCAGTTACCTTATTCCGGATACAACAATGGAATTGGAATCGGTAATTCCTGGAGGTGCTTGCCGCAACCGAACAAGCTTTTGAACACAAGGAAGATGTCGTTGGGAATGGAAAGCTTTCCATTCCCTGGTAAACAAGTTTCCTCCGTGGCTGAGGCTGACAATGGAATACAGAAACAACAGAATGGTAATGGTGGATGGGTTGGTGGTTATCAGATTCCAACAGAACGTGGGAATGGGAATCTCTATGAACAACAAGAAGCAATGCAGCAGCAGCATCAAGTTAAAAAAGGAAATGAAGAGTTCATTGCACTGCCTCAGCAATACCAGGGACAATCGTTGTGGGAAGGTCGTTTCTTTGTGTGATGATGTTATGGAGCATAGATGGTATGTATGTATGTATGTATGATGTTTTTTTTTTTTGGGTTAAAGGTTTCTAATAAAAGGTTATGTAGGTGTTGAACAATCTACTAAGGTGGATGTGGAGTGAAGTGGAGTGTCCTGGTACGACCAGTTCAGCCATCAGATATGCAATCAATGTGAAATGTGATTTTTAAAAAAGCTTTAGTGGAGGAAGCATGGATTGGATGGTATTGGTTTGGTTTGGTTTGGATTACTGCAGGCATCTGCTGGTTAATAGGTTTCTCTTGTTCATATTTTTGCATTTACTTCTTTCTATCTTTTCATGTCATGTTATATATTAATTTATTTATGCAGGTGCCGAGTTTTCCAGATTGGATGAATGGTAAGTCTGTGGGAAGAATCTGAAAACTTTTGTGGGTATGATATGATATGATGAAATCAGTGTTTTTGGAGATGTATGTATGAGTATCACAAACAATGGGAGGATTGATTGAAGCTTTTATCCTCCTGCTTATCAATCATATAAGGTATTATTATTATGTGTCTGTCTAATGGAAGGGGATATCTTAGAAGAAATCAACAACAGTAACACTCTGTTGATCCACGTCTTTTTTTAAACTTTGTTTTCTTGGGTTTTTGTTTTAGTTAAAAAGATTTGTTATAAGCGACTATGGAACGCTTGTATTGTGGGTCGTGATGATTGAAGTTGATGTGTTATTATTATTATTATTATTATGTTTTCAACTTTTTTTTTTGTTTGCTCGAGCGATATACTTCAAGATCTTGTGGCACACTGCCAAGTGTCTGGTCTGCTTGGAATGTAACATCAAGAAGCAACCTAATGGAACATTTTACAAACATCAAATTTAGTGTTAGTTTAATAAACACAAGTACAACCTGATCTTGCATGAACTTAAGCCAACACTCTCACCATATTCATAGAGCTTAATCCCATTCCATAAATCTATTTAGTAGATATAACTTGTTAAACTCCATGAATAACTTGTCTATGTCTTAATCGATCAAGACATAAGTTCAATTTCATTTATACAAATCATGCAATCTAAGGTTCATGATTATCATTTTCAATTTCAAGTAAACAACCGTAGTTAGACATGTAATGCTTGAAAACATAATCATTATGCTTACTACAACACTATCATTGAGATTCATAAAATAACTAGGGTTTCATCACCCTTTTCAATTTCACCATTAAAGCTTAGTTAAGCTTACAAGAAGATGGTACCTCTTTATCTAAGTAGTAGTGTTTGATGTTTGATTTCCTTGAAACTCCCTTGGATTTAGCTTCAATCGTAGGTGCAAGGCTCTTAAGTCTTAAGTTCGCCCTTCCTTATCTCTCTAGAAGTGTCCGAGTGAAATGAGAAGCATAAGTATTATACTCATTTTTGGACTTTGAATTAGTTAGACGGTTGTGTAACTCATTACACGATCGTGTAAATGCACATTTAGAGTGGTACTTCTATTAACTTAAGCCTCCAACTTCAAATGTGCACATCTTTCTCTTGTAGATTTTGTTTTAGCCGATTCTTTTGCTCACACGTTCTATTTTGTCGTGGATCCATTTTATGATCAACAATTAATCATTTGATTTCATTAAGTCATGATTTCATGGTCTCAAACATCAGATGTCGACTAACAACTTATTAATACGAAATCAACAAATCTTTTCAAAACAACACAAGTTTTCATTGGATTATTTTACCAACTAACTCTTATGCATTATTTTGCACCAATTTTTAGGAAACCTATGCATAAGGCCACAATATCGATTGAGAAAATTGACCTACACGATCCTCAAAATATACAAAAACATTGATTATTAACGCATCATTTTCCTCCCATATTTCCAACAATATGACTCTAGAAGAACAATAGCCCACAAGGCCAATGTTCTTTAGTCAATGTTGAACTGAAATATACCAAAACTCCACCATATTTTAGGAACCTATGCATAAGGCCAAAATATCCATTGAGGAAATTGACCTACACAATCCTCAAAATATTGATTATTAATGCATCCTTTTCCTCCCATATTTCCAACAATACGACTCTAGAAGAACAATAACCCACAAGGCCAAGGTTCTCTAGTCATTAAGAAACATTGTATAATGTTGAACTGAAATATAGCAAAACTCCATCATAAACTATATTCTAGTTGCTAAAAGACATTTCGTCTTAAGGAAACATGGACATAAAATCCTTTTTTGGAGAGTTGCATTAGCTACAAGTAAATGTCAACCTAGAGGTGAGATAAACTAACACAACATGGTAACCTTATATGATCTCGACACGAAATAAACAGATTTAGGTAAAAAATTTAAAATCATTTAATTAAACGGATTGACACAACACAACACAAAAATTAAACGACTTATGAGTTGTTTGATAGTTGCTGATTGAATTAGATTTGATTGAGTCATGTTAAGAGACATCAAACTGCCCCTTAGCCGCCTAGGTCAAGACTTGATTTTTAGTTTTTCCGTTCTCTCCTGTACTTCACAGTCCCCTCGATCACTCCCTCCTCATAATCTTACCCCTCCATATCCTGTACTCATACTCTTTCCACTTTTCCCTCTAAACTTACTATGGATTTTGTCATTTCACCTCCCAACTCTAACTCTTTTAACTTGTTTAGTGTTTCGACCCGACGCATTTACAAGATCTAAACCCTAACCCGCAACCCGACACGGAAATAGAAATAAACAGGTTGACACGACATAGTAGTTAGACGGGTCGAATTAAGGTCAAAGTATCTCAACCCTTTTAATGTTTCGACTTAACACGAACCTGACGTGACACAACATGTTTTCCAGGTCTATGTCAATCCTTATCACATTTTTATCGGCAATGCTGTGTTGGTTGATTTTTCTATCATCATTTTCGGATGATAAGAAGTAGCTAATACAAGAACGCAAATCAAGAAACATTTTATACAATCATGAAACAATAACGGCTTTTCAGAAACGCCAAGACTCTCGACGATCCCTTGAGCCTCCCAGCAACTGGGATTAGAGTTCCTATATACAGAAGAAGACTAGTGAAATAGCACATTCTTATCAAATGTAATCGATGTATCTCTACTCGTCCTCTATAAAAATTTTGAGTATGAAATCACGAAAACGTCTAGAATAATTTCGAGGATCAACGGCTGATATGGATGTTGGGTCGTATTGGAAGGACTTGTAAGCATGCTCGAGTTTCTTGGTGATGTCATAGTCTTGAAGTATGTCTATGATACCAAAAAACATTACAACATCATAACACACCCCCGTTGGTTCACCTATTAGCTCCATTTCGTTCTTTCTCTCCATCTTTTCAACTCGTGTGTGCATGCTGATTCCTAACTTCGACCTGCAATCATATTGTAGCAACAAAAAAAGAAAACAATTTCTCAAATCTCACCCCGAAACATACATTTATCATCGAAGTTGTCACCATAATATTTCGTTATAAGAATGGTGGTATATATATTACCCTCCAGTGTCTGAAACATGGTATGCCGAATCATCTGTGCCACCATTAAGATTAACATATATTAGAACTTTCAATCCATATTTGACACCAGCGTTCATGCGTGTATATATATAAATTAAGGAAATTACAAGGAGAGATTAGCAACTGAGGTACCTAAGTCGCTATTTGTGTCTTTGAAGTGAAGACCAACCAAGAGGCTGTAATCCATGATTCTCTCCTGCTCGAGAAAATCACAATCCCTATCGATTTGCCTGGACATGATTTAAACAAATTCTTAAGCACCCTTTTGAAAGAAAGAGCAAACTGAAGTTTTACCTTCTAAATTCTTCGATCCAAGTTTTCTCCAATCGAAACATGAAGTTGAGATCAAGGTCTTTAAGTATAGTGGTGGTCTGGATTTCTGACTCGGGTTTATCCGTGATCCGACCAAGGGAAGACCCTTTTAAGTCGAATCGTCTGTGAATGACGTGATCGGTGCAGAAAAGGTTCCCCATGATGATAAATCGTACCTAAATCATGCACTAACAAATTGATCAAATCTTCTTTTGTGATACAGCTAAAGAATGGATGGATGCTATATATATGATGAAATTAATCAAACCTTCTTTTGTGCAGGACCAGTTAACTTCACACAGTGTAATCCGTAGAACTTGGTGAGTAGGGTATGCTCAAATGAGCGAAAATGGTTGTAGTATGCCGATAGCATCCTTAGTATAGCCTAAATAATGATCAACCATTGATTCAAACAAAACAAATTAACCCCATGAAACTCAACTACGTAAAGATTCGGAACGTTTTTTTGATTAATTAAGATTCAAAATCTTACTTTGACTTCAGCTTTTTTGATGGTTTTGATCATGTAGCGATCATCATGCGTGAGGTAAAAGAAGCTTCCGCTCTTTCCAGGGGAAGACAGCTCTCGAAGAGCATCGTTCCCACATATTGATAACATGTAATCAGCTGCATCCACCTTGAACAACATCCTTAATGTCCTATACACATGTTCATGAAATCATGCATCATATATTCATCGTCTAATTACATCTTTTTTTTTTTCCCTATGTTTCTGGTAATCAAATCAAAGGACAGCCAATGCTAAGGGTATTAAGCTCCTGTTTTTCTGTCACAGCTGGATTGCATCCGTGTACATTATGATGTGAAAAGCAAATTAATTGAACAAAATATTTTAATTACTAATATAGCATATTATACGATGGAAAACCTGCATGAAGGGAAATTGACTTGTTCATGCAAGAAATGATAGATCTATTGGCATGACATGTGGAGATATGGGCAGAAGACAAAGATTGAAATTTTGCCATTTATTCATATTTAAAGACAGCTAAAGAAATACCAAATGTCATTTTAATTTGCAATGATCCCCAATGCGCATCATGTTGTAAAACTAATGAAAATATCACTTATCTACCATAAAAATAAAGTGAAAAGGATAAATGAGACCAATCTTATTCTTCCCTTTTCAAAATTCAAACGAATTCTAATTTCCCAAAATAATCATCAATTTCATAGATACATTTACGAAATTCAAAATTCAAACAAATTCTAATTTTCAAAAATAGTCATCAATGAGACTAATCTTATTTATCACTTTTCAAAATTCAAACAAATTCTAATTTTCAAAATAGTCATCAATTTCGTAGATGACATTTATGAAATTGGTGATGTCGTTCGGGAAGTTAACATTTTAATTTTTTTAAAAAATTTGTGACCGATTCAAAGATGAAATTTCCAAAACAATACCTACAATATACGAAAATCTCATATTCTAACCATTACACATATGACATCTATAAACCGACAACTTTCATATGCAAATGATTAGTTAAGGTGACATTTTTTTTAGTATAATTACACAATAGTTACTTTCCACATACCACTTTATTTGTAAATTCATCTAACAATATTTATTTGAATACTAACATTATCTTATTCACTATAAAATGAGTTCATATGAATATGGTTTTTGACATTATAAAAACAAAGATTGTTATATTTGTTTCGATATCAACCTATTTCCTAATGGTTGATTGAACCACTACCAACCAAAGGGACCCATGATAGTCAGATACTTAATGAATATACAAACGTTCTCATGTAGAGGTGCAAGAAAGTTATAATGAATAACAATTACTGAAAAGAAATTTAAAGAGGCAAAAAAGTGGATTGATGATGAGGATGCAAAGATTGACACGCTTACGGAAAAGTGGATCATCTTACAAGATCTTGTCAGAGTTAGAGTTGGTTTTATTGACCACGAAAAAATAATGTATATGTTATAATTTCCCGATGTGTGGCCCGAAAATTAAGTTCGTAACAAATATAATCACAGTTTATAGGTTTTGTAAAGTTATTCTATCGTTTTGTATCATTTTGGTTTAAGTAATGAAAATGAAAAATATTGTTATTCATGATTTTTTTCCTAGGTTTTTGTTACGCAAAATATGAAAAGTAGTCGATGCAAGTAAATATTACACATAAGTGTTACACATTTATAAATGTTAGACACAGTCTATAGTAAAATAAGATTCACAAGGTCCCTAAAACATAGAAGTAATTCTAAAACAAAAAGCCATAGTTGCTACTTGTACGAAGTTGTTATAATCAAAGGATGACCCGAAACCAACTACTCTAAAGCATGCAACATAAGACAATAAAATATCCCTTGACGACCTTTTGTTGAAGCAAACCCCCAACCGAAACAAAACACATAAACAAAGGCCATTGTGGTATGTCAACATTCCTCCAATAGTAGATGTGATGTAAAAGTGTGGAGACTTGATTTTAAGAGTTCAAGAATTTATTTTCACCCTTAAGGTACTCAAAACTGCCTCTAGCACCAAGACTTCCGCATATATTTACAGTCATATTCTCGAACCATAGTTCATCGTCTAATTACATCTTTTTTTTTTTAATAAAAAAGGTGGACAAATGTTGTAAAGTGTTACCTGAAAACTAAGGGGCAATAATCCTTCCATCTGAATTCACAAGATTGGTGAGGAGGGGTGTATTTAGATCCCTCTGGTGGGAATCTTGTCCAAACTTTCTCTTTTGGATTAAAAGCAGATGATTTCAAGTCTAAGGAGGGAACTGGACCTGGTCTTCCTACAGAATGCCTACACACAACTGGATTTCATTAGAATAATTCAAAGCAGAAAAAGTTTTAAACAAGATAATGAAACAAAAAGATTGGAACTATATAACCTGATCCCTAGTTGCAAATTAAGCATAAGTTCATAATTCTTATGCCCTTTAGATATGGTCTCGCCTTGTTTCTTGACAACTTTTGGAAGCCGAATTGGACTTCCTTCAGATAATGCATTACCAGATATTAACGATGCATCATCCCTAGCTTTCATGGTCCTTTCTGTGTCATCCAACATCCGCATTCTAGCAAGGTCTTTGTCCATACTTGCATCCAATCTCCCATCAACAGACATCCTCCTTGGTCTAACCGAGGGTTCAGTTCCTTTAGAAGATCTCCAAATCGCTAGTTTCTTTTGTGATGGCAAGATTGGAACTTTATCTTGAGGGGAAATAAAACAATCCTTGAGATAAACATCAAAAACTTCTTGTGGATCATGTTTAACATCATCAGATGAAGGATTAAATGTCAAGTCTTGCTCTCCTGAATCTGTACTCCAATTTCCGACATAAGAACTCCCATCTGCCCATTGAAACGTTCCATTTCCTTTTGGTAAACATTCTTCCCATTCCCCTTCGTACATGCTTCCATCAGGCCAGACCAATTTACCCTTCCCAGACATGGTTCCGTTTTTCCATTCACCATCGTAATGACTCCCACCTTTCCAATTGTACTTTCCATTACCTTCTTGTAATCCTCTACACCACTCGCCTTCATACGTATCTCCGTTGGTGTATTCCTTCACCCCATGTCCATGTTTCAAGTTCATGACCCAATGCCCTCTGTATGTGTCTCCGTTGGGGCCTGTGTAGGTGCCCTCTCCATCCATATACCCACTCTTGAATTCGCCATCATAAGAGGCTCCTGAAGGCCAACTGAATGTGCCTCTTCCCATGGTTTTTCCACGACACCAGTCACCTACATACATGCAGCCATCGGTCCACCAATACTTACCGAAACCATGAGGGAAGTTTTCCGACCAGTTTCCTGTGTAGTAGTCTCCGTTTGATAGGAATCTTTCAGCGTGGTAGACCTCCCCAGCAGCATGGTTCTCAAGTTGATCGGTGTCTTCATCGTCTACGTGGGCCACATGGGCTGACCCAAAGATGTTGGTGGCTTGTTTCTTCGCTTGTTGTGTTTTCCGGATTGTTGCCTCCCATGCCTTCATGACGTGTTGATATCAATTTGATCATGAATTTTTTGTTCTGAATATTTAAGCATCCAATCCTAATTATGATGCTTATCAGGATGGATCTCGTTTATTGAAACAAAATATCATGAATTCCATGAAATAGAACATGATTTATTTCCCCGACAATAATCATAAACATAGATATTACGATGAAAACAAGAATCAAACCCTCGAAACAGCATGCAAGATTGGTAATGGCCTCTCTTTCTCTCTCTATTTTTCTTTCTGTTCTCTCTATCTTTCTCTTTCTCTCTCTCTCTGGTTTATTTTCCCTATGTTTCTGGTAATCAAATCAAAGGACAGCCAATGCTAAGGGTATTAAGCTCCTGTTTTTCTGTCACAGCTGGATTGCATCCGTGTACATTATGATGTGAAAAGCAAATTAATTGCACAAAATATTTTAATTACTAATATAGCATATTATAAGATGGAAAACCTGCATGAAGGGAAATTGACTTGTTCATGCAAGAAATGATAGATCTATTGGCATGACATGTGGAGATATGGGCAGAAGACAAAGATTGAAATTTTGCCATTTATTCATATTTAAAGACAGCTAAAGAAATACCAAATGTCATTTTAATTTGCAATGATCCCCAATGCGCATCATGTTGTAAGACTAATGAAAATATCACTTATCTACCATAAAAATAAAGTGAAAAGGATAAATGAGACCAATCTTATTCTTCCCTTTTCAAAATTCAAACGAATTCTAATTTCCCAAAATAATCATCAATTTCATAGATACATTTACGAAATTCAAAATTCAAACAAATTCTAATTTTCAAAAATAGTCATCAATGAGACTAATCTTATTTATCACTTTTCAAAATTCAAACAAATTCTAATTTTCAAAATAGTCATCAATTTCGTAGATGACATTTATGAAATTGGTGATGTCGTTCGGGAAGTTAACATTTCAATTTGTTTAAAAAATTTGTGACCGATTCAAAGATGAAATTTCCAAAACAATACCTACAATATACGAAAATCTCATATTCTGACCATTACACATATGACATCTATAAACCGACAACTTTCATATGCAAATGGTTAGTTAAGGTGACAATTTTTTAGTATAATTACACAATAGTTACTTTCCACATACCACTTTATTTGTAAATTTATCTAACAATATTTATTTGAATACTAACATTATCTTATTCACTATAAAATGAGGTCATCCGAATATGCTTTTTGACATTATAAAAACAAAGATTGTTATATTTGTTTGGATATCAACCTATTTCCTAATGGTTGATTGAACCACTACCAACCAAAGGGACCCATGATAGTCAGATACTTAATGAATATACAAACGTTCTCATGTAGAGGTGCAAGAAAGTTATAATGAATAACAATTACTGAAAAGAAATTTAAAGAGGCAAAAAAGTGGATTGATGATGAGGATGCAAAGATTGACACGCTTACGGAAAAGTGGATCATCTTACAAGATCTTGTCAGAGTTAGAGTTGGTTTTATTGACCACGAAAAAATAATGTATATGTTATAATTTCCCGATGTGTGGCCCGAAAATTAAGTTCGTAACAAATATAATCACAGTTTATAGGTTTTGTAAAGTTATTCTATCGTTTTGTATCATTTTGGTTTAAGTAATGAAAATGAAAAATATTGTTATTCATGATTTTTTTCCTAGGTTTTTGTTACGCAAAATATGAAAAGTAGTCGATGCAAGTAAATATTACACATAAGTGTTACACATTTATAAATGTTAGACACAGTCTATAGTAAAATGAGATTCACAAGGTCCCTAAAACATAGAAGTAATTCTAAAACAAAAAGCCATAGTTGCTACTTGTACGAAGTTGTTATAATCAAAGGATGACCCGAAACCAACTACTCTAAAGCATGCAACATAAGACAATAAAATATCCCTTGACGACCTTTTGTTGAAGCAAACCCCCAACTGAAACAAAACACATAAACAAAGGCCATTGTGGTATGTCAACATTCCTCCAATAGTAGATGTGATGTAAAAGTGCGGAGACTTGATTTTAAGAGTTCAAGAATTTATTTTCACCCTTAAGGTACTCAAAACTGCCTCTAGCACCAAGACTTCCGCATATATTTACAGTCATATTCTCGATCCATAGTTCTCCTAACAACTAATGATGCTTGTGTATATTTATAGAAAAATATACCTATGTAACATTAATAGATACAAACATTGTTGGGTTTTTATTCAAAATAGTATAAAAGAATAGTTAAAACTACGAGTTTAGCAATAGAAACATTTTTGTTTGAATAAACTAAAACCATTTTAACCCACCAAGAATCATTTTGCAAAAACTTAGAAGGATTAAAACAACCACAAAAAGTTAAGTGTTACAACCTTTAAAGACTTTGATTCTCATGAGAGATTGAAAGTTGATGAAATGTGGCATGAAACTTCAAGATAGAAGTTCTCTATAATGTATCCACCAAACAAGAATATAACCACTAGTAGGTGCTATTTTTTCACTTGTATTAAGTTGTTCTTAAGCTTTAAGACTTATACCAAATAAGTGCTTAAAGAGAAGCAACTTTCTGAACCAAGAATTAGCACCAAAATTGCAAGAGATCCATATGGGAAATCTCTTCATATTTTCGACAATTGAGAGAGAAAAAAGAGAAGAGAAGTGCATAAAAACTAAATAATTTTAATCACTATGTCTTCTTTGGAAAACACACTTTACTGTTTACTTTAAGGTCTATATTTAATTACAGGCTTATCCAAGTATGAGACTATTGATTTAGGTGTCTAAGTCAATAACTAAATTGTTATATTCTTGAAATAAAAGCAAATTCATTTTTGGGTTGCCCTCAAAACTAGAAACCGAAAAGAATTACATTTGGAGAGAGAGGATAATTTATTTATATATTATATGATTAATATATTAATTATAAATAGTAATTATTAATTTAGTATTAATCAGAAATTAATTGGAATTAATTTTGGGATTAATTAAATTAATTGGAAGTGTTGGGACCAAAGGTGATATTGTTCAAAAGTTGAGCAATGAAGAGTTCTAGAACCTTCCTCATGGGGACGGTTTTTGTAGAGCTTCCTAAGGCTTCTACGAAGCCTTGGAGGATAAGTAAATGATTTGGATAACTACATATTTTGAAATATTACTATTATATTCAATTGAGTGTTATCCAAGGATTATTTTTCACCTATAAATAGGAACTTAAGGGTCATTAGTTTCGTCCATGATCGCAAGCCTTCCATAGCCAAAATTTTGCTATACTATCCTCTCTCCTCTTGTGTTCTTGTTGCTAAGGTTTGGGTACAAACCATTAGAGACATCATCTCTTTGGTGCTAGTCTTTCCAAGCTTCATAACTACAAGGATTGGTTTGATTTGTTTGCTATAACAAATCAAAAGGTATGTAACCTAAACTTTGTAATTTTTGATTTACACTAGGGTTAGGATAGTTTAGTTGTTCATTGTATTTTGCTATCTAGCTGTATGACATAGATCTTTTATAGGATGCATGTACCCTATTAATTGTTAATTGTTTTTCGCATTGCACATAGTTGCTATCTATAAAACCCATCAGAATAAGGCTAAGGATCCCTTCAGGAATTACATGATAGAATTGTCTGATATTTGTGATGCCTTATAGCCTATGGAATTGTTTGTTATGTGCTACTTGGAGTCTAGATTAACAACGTTAATTTCTAAGTGTATGTTTTAGAATTGTACACGGTTAAGACTGTATAGACTTTTCATGTTCCTTGTTTGGTTGTGGTCTTAGGATAGAATCATTTACAAATAAAATGACATTTAGTGTCATAGAAATAGGGCCACTGAAAACAAAAAAAGTGCCACTAAAAGCAGCTTTAGGAATCGGCAACATAAAAAAAGGTGCCACTAGAAGCGCTGCCACTAAAGGCCATTAGTAGCACTTTTGGGTTGTGTCGTTGCAGACTTATGGAGTTTTAGTGGCACTTTTTTTATTATTCCACTAAAACACTATTGTGTTTTAGTGGCATTTTTTGTGCCACTAATATAGTTGCTAGTACAAATATTATTTTCATGCTTTTAGTGACACATTTCTTCACAAAAATAAAATTATATTCAAAAACTAGATCATGCATACACAATGAGTTGTTATTGTATAAAATAAAAAGAAGAGTTACACACAGTGAATTGTTCTTTGCATTAAAAAATAATCAAGTATTCAAAAAAAAATCATAAATTGCTACTTGTGTTTCATTCCCTATTATGTTTTTGCTTACAACAAACATAACAATTTCTGGACCTCTCACTGCCCCTATCATGTTTGCTAAACAAGGTGTAGACGTAAAGGGCAAAGATGGAGCTTTTTACACTTATTATGTGCATTCACAACTTGTGCCATTTTTCAGTATCCATCTCTTATTTTACAAGCATCTCACAACATCATGATCAATGCGAGATTTGGTATAGAATCCTCCTCGTTGCCTATAAATCCAACATTTCTACATTCCTGTGAAAAGTTATTTGCATATTTAAAATACAACAACAATTACATTTATATAATATTGCATAGTAGTATAGCCTTAGGCTAGCCCGATTCAGGGCCAGTTAGTCAGGGGTAGGTTGTGCTACCAAACAATGTTATCATGTGATGTTGCCATGTTGTGTTGACAAACATTGTTTTCATGTTGTTTAGGTTATATCAATAAACCTAACATTATCACTCACAGAAACATACTAACAATGTGGTTGGATCGTAAGACAAAAAAACAAACAATATCAACAAGAATTCATAAAGCTTAATTATAAACTTATTTTGATTAAGGGTTTTCAATAACTCTCACAAAGAGAGAATACACAAAGTAGCTTACAATAAGGTTAACCCTAGCATAACATATATACGAGGTAAAACGATAATAATGGAAATCCCTACAAATCAGGGATATATATATATATATATATATATATATATATATATATATATATATATATATATATATATACACAAAGATACAATCCTAATCACTAAGATTACAGATAAGATCCTTGGAGCATAAGAAACACTTCACCTTGATACTAAAAAATTTGGCAGTGTGATGTCACGCTGCAACATGATACAAATTAAAAAGAGTTTTATAATCATCAGATTCTTAGTTGTAGCCTAACAAACATAGATACAAAAAATAAAGTACACAAACCTCTAAAGCGCACACAATCTAAAATAATTTTTTAGGTAACGCATTGTTTTTTGTTCACATTTAATAACCATGTTTTTTTGTACAGGTTTAACTAGTAAACGTGTTTGATTTGCTCATAATAGGGTAATATCAGTAGTAATTACCGATGATATTATCCTATTATGTACAAATCAAAAAATTTATTGATCAAATATGTACGAAAAAATATGATTACCGGACAAAAGTCAAACTTCGTTACCATTCTAGGTCATTAACCTATAAAAAAAAAAAAAAAAAACCAAACTCTTGTGCTCGACTCACCAAAAGACAATTAGCCAAGGGCTATTCTGCAATTTAATTTGTTCAGGGAAACTGATATGTATGAATACATATAATCAAGCGAAGTGTTCCGTGTTCGATCGGTTGTGCTATATAAGTTGGAATCTTGTGCTATTTACTTTATCAATCAAACCTGTTCTAGAATTAAGATATACGGAACTCGGCACTGAGAGAATCTTTGTACTAGGGTTTCTAATTTATGGAGAACATCAGGAGAGCATCGCACGCAGGTTCTTGGTACTCCAGTAATTGTAAGTCCCGTATAATCCTCAAGTTTCATATGCATTCCCATTAATTGAAAACCAATTTGATCATCAGTGTCATATCTTGCTAAATTTTGGGGGTTCGATCGAGATATAGAGTTAATCTTGACTGATTGAAGGTTTCAGTTGGTAGGAAGTGTGCGATTTTTTTTTCCCGATTATCCCTTTTCGTGTCATGACTCATGAGTGATTAAGATTGCTGCTTTTTGAAGTATTAACGATACGGTTGTTGAAAAAATATACGAATAATTAAAGTTTTACACTATACTGTCTGTGATTAAGGAGCAATTAGATGATTCTGAGTTTGCACCCAAATAAAATAAATTGAGAAATTCTGATGATTTTATGTTCATCAGCTCAAACATTAGAAGCAGAGCTTGATGGATGGCTTAGGGAATGTGGTTTGCCCAAATCTCCAGATGTCAGAGGTGTAATTGCTCCGTAAGTAAAATCTCCATTTTCAATCTTTCTCATATTTTCCATTGAATTTTCTAATACATTTGTCATTTTATCCACTAGACATGCAGGTTATTCTTATTCTGGACGTGCAGCTGCTTTTGCATTTGGAAACATTGATCCAACTAACATGTAAACCTCATTCCCCAAAATTATACATTCATACACACATCCAGTTTTTTTTTTTTTTTTTTTTTTTTTTTTTGGGTTATATTTGTTTCTAATTATGTAGATGTTTACATTTTTCAGTACTCGGATATTTCTTCTTGGTCCTTCTCATCACCATTACACCCCTAAATGTGCTCTTTCAAGAGCAACAATTTACAAGACACCAATAGGCGACCTCCCTATAGATCTTGAAGGTATCCTTGCATCATTTGTGTACTTATATGTGTCAGACACAATATAAGTAATGTATCAGGTACAATGTGTAGACACATTGTACCTGATGATACATACACAGTATGTATACAAATGTGGCTGATACATACATTATGTACGTATCAGCCACATTAATCTGACAACATATCTCCTAAATTTTGTTGAAATCAGTCATTGATGAGCTAAAAGCTACTGGAAAATTTGACATGATGGATATTGAAGTTGATGAGGCTGAACATAGCATGGAAATGCACTTACCGTATCTTGCCAAAGTATTTCGTGGGTAAGTCTTTTTTTTTTTTAAAATCAAAGTTCTTATTCCGACTTATAACATTCCGATTCCGGTTTGCATGATTCCAGCCATTCGGTTAAAGTTGTTCCTATTATGGTTGGGGCTGTAAGCACAGAAAATGAAGCAATGTATGGACGATTGCTCTCCAAATATATTGATGACCCAAAAAATTTCTTTTCAGTTTCATCAGATTTTTGTCACTGGGGTTCTCGGTATGTTAAGAATCAAGATCATGTTCCTTTTCTTTAATTGTATAAAATGTCTATAAAAATTCATATAATTTGTTTTTATCATTTATATAGGTTCAATTACATGCACTATGACAAGAAACATGGGGCTATTCATAAATCTATTGAGGCATTGGACAAGATGGGAATGGAAATTATAGAAACCGGAGATCCTGATGAATTTAAACGCTACTTGATGGAGACTGATAATACCATTTGTGGACGTCATCCCATCAGTGTATTTCTTCATGTAAGTCCTAACTTTTTACAAATTTGCCCTTTTTTTATTTTTTTACATATAAAGTTATAAATGGGTTTGTTGACAAACAGATGTCGAAGAACTGCTCAACAAAGATTAAGATAAAGTTTCTTCGATACGAGCAGTCAAGTCATTGCAAAAGCATGAGAGACAGCAGTGTGAGCTATGCATCCGCAGTGGCAAAGTCGGAATAACTGATTCCGGTTTTGGATTCATTGCATTATGTAATTCCGAACCTTGTTTTTCTTAATTTGAACCGTGTCTCTCTCTCGTTTTTGTTTCTTGTCAATAATATGACATTTCTGATTCCGTATCATTGAAACTAACATTTTAGCTTCTGATAACCCTCGTAAATCGTTTCCATTAATGTAAAGTTTATGTAAAAATTACAAGTCTTTTGCATTCATTATGTGCGACAATACTAAAAATCCCTCAAAAGAATCAACCAAATAACAACATGATATGAATATGACAATGACACGGTTGTTGTGATTCCGATTCCGATGATCATATCTTGTTAAGTTTTGCAAGGAGGAATACAGAGGCGGAAGTGACGGCCGGAATGAATACGTCATTGGGAATGGCATTTGGAGCTGTGCGCTGTTTGATAAATGTGGTTATGACTGGGATTCCGAAGATGAAGAGGAGTATGTCTTTGATTCCCATTCCGGTAACTCCGGAATCCAGGATTATATCCTGCAAGATCTTCTGAAACTCGTCCTTGCTCAAGGACTTCTCTTTTCCTTTATGGTGCTTCTGCAATTCATTCCCATGATTCCATTCCAAAGATCTCATCAAGATTTGTATCACATTTATTTGCCCAAAATAACACATCTGGATTGCATTCTTGTATCACATTTAACTCCCAAGAGCCACATTCCCGATTTAACTTTAATTCATTAATTTTAGAACAAAGATACAGAGGAGATGAACAACTTAACTGAGAAGATGTTAATAGTGTCAATTGTTACTCATGATTTACGTTATGAATTTATTATGATTTGTATTATTAAATTATAAATGTGTTATTATCAGATGTTTTTATTCGAATAAAAAGATACAAAACTTACGTTGTAGGCTTGTTCAAGAGTAGAACTCTTTGGGACATGAAACTGTGTGCTCCCAAGCATCTTGTTCATTTCTCTGTCAAATCAGCATAATGTAAGTATTGCATAAAAGCACTTTAAACCTTAAACAAAAAAAAACAACAACATTGATATTTGATAAACATAGAATGCGAAAATTACTCGACTGTCTCACAAACTGCATGATAAAACTCAGCTGAGTTCCATTTCTTGTTTGGATCTGCAAAATATTTGTCATAGCATTTCCCCACCAAAGGACCAATATCTTTATTTTCCTCTTTTCCTATAACAAAATCATGATTAATTATATGTATGTGTGTGAAGACAGAAGGAAATCAATGAAGGGAAATCATATAAAAACAGACAGAAAAATAAAATTTTGAAAGAGAAAGATACCAAAAGTTTGTCCCATGTTTTTAGGCTTCTTGCAAAGGCTTAACTAAGTTGAAAGAATTGAATTGAATTGTGTGTATGATATATATGAATAATATTGGATTTATATAATGATTCTTGCTGATGAAGAAGGGTATACTTGCATTTCTAATCTTAATGGTAAGGAAAAGTTGAACACTGATTGACTCATTGAAGGAAAGAATAGTACGGATTGGCCCATGTTCTTTCTAATATATTACACAATTAGGTCCTCTAGTTTAATAAATTGCATTTTTCACACCACCTAAACTTTCACATGTAGCAAATGGACCGAGTACTGGATAACAAATGGAAAAAAATTGAGGATGGCTAAAACATATTTAATATATTGACCAATTTTTTGTCATTTTTTATGAGTTTACAAATATTTAATATATTAAATATTATTTTAGATTTTATGATCGATTTTGTTTGCAAGAAAACAATGGCTAATACGGATTCTTTCTGGAAGAAAATTCCTTCATAAAAAAGCTCGACTCATAAAATACTTGAATTGTTTTGTAATTTCATTCATTTCAAAAGAAAAACAACTCGAAACAGATTTAACCGATTTAATGGATTACTATTGTTTATGTGACCTCCATCTTGTACAAAAATACTTAGATGATGTATAACTTGTTTTAAAAAGTTGATATGGCTTGCAAGTCGTATAAACGTGAATTTTTAATTTTATATGAATTGTTAAAATCGATGGCTTTGAAGATGATATGCCTAACTAAAATTCTGTAGATGGTTAGAAAGACAAAAACTACACAACTCATTGATCCCTTTTAAAGTCAACGTCTCAAGTCAAAATCCACCTATCACCTCTAAAGGTCAATACCTCATTTACACCCCAAGCCCACGAATCAAATACTTGTATTCGATCCGACCCGTTTGCAATCCTAACATTTGATACAGATAACATGATTACCTCAAAAGTCAAAAAAAGAACCCACAGAGTTGACTTTTTAACATAATCTCCACTTGCCATAGTTGACTTGACTTGGTCTATACCAAATTAGAAAAGCATCTCCATATACACACATATATATATTTCCATTTTCACAATAGAAAGAGATCTAAAAGCAATGGAATACAAGCATTTCGGCCATGAGCACAACCTCTCGATGTACCAAGTGCAGCCAGGGCAACAACTTCGTTGCTCTGGCTGCGACAAATTCTGTGATAAAACCATTTACGCTTGTTGGCACTGCAAATTTTTTCTTCATGAGCATTGTGGAAACGCCACTCGATACATACGACACCCTTTTCACACTACTCATCCTCTCATTCTTAGCCCATACCCAACTTACCCTTCAAATTGCTTCTTATGTAACGCCTGTGGAACCACTGGAACAAGGTTTTCATATTGTTGTGCATTATGTGAAGTCGATCTCCATGTCAATTGTGCTTTCCTCCCCCCGAAGGTACTTTCAAGTTTCAATCGCCTTTTCATTCAATTGGGTTCCTTCATTATAATGGAAAAAGAGCAAATTGTTAATTAAGTGTGTTTGTGTTGTGTGTATACATACAGGTAACACATAAGGCTCATCCACATGAGCTACTTCTTAACGTTAGCAATCGAGCCCAAGATCAGAATGCAACAAACCAAGTGTGCAAGATATGTAGAAAGTCGTTGGATTGTAAGCATTGGTCGTATGAATGTGGTGTATGTGTAAACTATGGTGTTCATACATTGTGTGCGACAGCTGAGGTAAAAATGGGTCTGTATCAGATGGATGATGGGTCGGATACTGAATCTGACCAGGGGCAGGGTGCACCGAAGCCTCAACAGGCTGCACCAACGGCTCAGCAGGGTCCAAGTGAGGGTCAGGTTCAGGTGGAACTAACACCACAGGAAGCTCTTGCATTTCTTCATCTCATGGGACTTACTAATGGTGCTTCTTATGTATAAGCTTTGTATTGAAGTTGTATGCGTAATTGAGATTAATTAATTAACCCGGTTTTAATTTATTTGTAAATGATTGTGGGTTCGTGGCTTACTGTTAATAAGGAATGTGAACTTGCGTCTTCTAAAAAAAGTGAGAGTTCAACGCAAGACACTTTCTTTATATTGGTACAATAAATATGTTTCTTTCATTCACTAATTTGTAGAACCAGAAAATGAAGGACTAATCTTTCCTTAAGCACTTCTCTGAAAAATAGTTTGATATTGAATTGCTTTGTTTTCCGGTGGAAAACAAGATATTATCAGAAATGGAAATTGGATCTTGATTATCAACAAATTACATCCTTCTTGCCTTAATTAGATTAAAGTCCACCAGTAGTTTTGTTAACCACAAGGCTTGATTTACAGTAGCACTAGCTGCAGTAAATTCAGCTTTTACCACCAAACTCCCTTTTATTTTTAACCTTTTAGTCCAAAACAGAAAACCAATAGCCACGTCCTCTTGTGAGCCTTTAACTTATTCTTTAACTAACCTATTCCAAAACACTTATCCTTTTGACTTTCTCCTAAATGTTATGTTGGATGGAATCAAGATCTATTCGAGTAGCAAACAATTCACGCCATGTGCAATACCCACCAACTTCTATCTTACCCTATATGCAATTATTATATACATCCCCACTCACTAACTCATTTAAAATTCCATTACTTTATAAAACAGATTCGAATTTAGAAAATCTTGCACTAAATATTTATCAATACAAAACAAGATATCCCCACAAAAAGACGTGTTAAACACCATCACTACCTTTTTCTTGTTACAACTTCATCTAATTGATTCTGATACCAACCCAAACCAAGAATATCCAATTCTTCACGAAAATACATACATCCCATTTTAAATCAATTACTTCTTCTATCTAATAACAGTTTGCAACAAAAACAAGCAAAGAAAACATTATTAGATTTTTGTTAATTAGATTTAGATGCCTTCCTAGGGCATGATATAAGTTCAGTTCACAAACCATAAGTCTTCCTTCTACTCTTACTCTATCTACAAAAAGCCCTTATGCTGTTACTAAATGACTAGCTCCCTTAAGTGGAAGCATGCAAGAGTAGGTCACATACTTAACACTGTCTAATAAAACAACAACAAATATCCTCGAAAACGACTTGGGCCCACCCATCATCCCCTCCACATCACCACCACCATCGCCGCCCTCTCGAGGGTCAAACAACACCGAAACCACCATCGATGAAACCGAATTGTTTTTGTGATGTTCTTCATGCTTTGAGCTGTTACCCGCCACTTGTTCTTTTGTGATGTTGGTGGTGGTGGTGGTTGCCGAAAGGGGAATTGGGAGGCTGTGGAGGATCCGCCGGTTTTTCACGGTGGTGATGTAGGTGGAGTTATGGCGGTCTTCGGCGGTGATGTTGGCAGTGGATGTCGCCGGAACTAAAGCTCCGGAAGCAGAAGCCACCGAGACATCAAACTGAAATACTTCTGTGCACATACCAGAACTTAACATAGGCCCTGTGTAACAAAAAAAATATATATTCGAGTTATGAAACATCCACCCAATTATAGCAATGATTAAGATCTAACAGGGGATGACTAAAAACAATGGATCAAAGAAACAGAAGTAAGCAAGAATATGTGTTTGATGAAAGTGTTCTAGTGATACAAAATTGAGAAATATTTACCAGCAAGACCTTCACGAAACCATTGTTGCAGTTTTCCATCAGCATGTTTTGACTTCAACTTCTCTTTGTCTGATGAGAGAACCCTTTGATGATCACTTGAAGACCTGTAAATATGGGGTTGTCTTCCACTGTTTCTTCCCACTGTTGGAATGGAGATAGCAGGGACTAAATCTAGAGCAACTGCCAAACCAGTATCCTCCTTTTTAGTCATTCCTTGTTCTTCCATTGAAGCCATGGCTTTCTCACTTGCTAGAACAGAATGGATTATCAAATTCCCATCGATTTTCACAAGCTTATCGTTTCTTGGGACATAAAGAGATGCAACGAGAGGCTCACTGGCGTTATGCTCGTGTGCTCTTCCACTACTTATACCTGTTCTATGGTTAGTTCCATTAACATGATCATCACCCATCAACACCCTCCCTGGTTGCTGCTGTTGTCCGTAGAACATATAATCTTTAGATACACCAGAAAAGCCACCATCTGTTACTCCACTGAATTTCACATTTATAATTGGAACTAACCCACCGAAGAGCACGATAAATAACAACAACCCGAGGAAGCTAATGCTAGCAACCTTTTTGGTTTTGGTTTTTGTTTTGGTTTGTAGCTTCCGTTTTCTTCACTTCAACCTTCTTGGATTTCTGTGAGGATGTAGGTTGTTGGGGTTTCAATCTGGGAATTGGAACTAATGGTACCTGAGAACCCTGTGATTTGACTACATAAGGTGGACATGGCATCCAAGGATATCCCATAGGCGGCATTCCAGGGTGTGGTGGGTACATTACAGGAGGCGGGCATACAACACCACCACCGCCGGCAACCATTTGTTGCCTTAAAGTTGCGTTCTCTGCTGCAAAGTAAGTTATTCTAGCATTCAAATCTTGGATAGTTGAATGCATTGCCCTGACCTTATCCTCTAACTCCTCGACATAATGTTTCTTCCTCTGTCGTGAAAGTTGTGCGCTCTCCCGGTTCCTTATCAGCCTCGCCTTCTTCTTCTCGTCTTTTCCGTCAATTTCATTCGAATTCTCAGTCGTTGTCGAAGTTCCATTTGACCTTTGGTACTTGATTGTCCTGGATTCCGAGTTCCCCTCAGGCGTCTCTTTCTTTCTCTTTAACATGAAATTACTCCCTGATTCCCGCTTCACCTTCTGATCAACAACGGAATTTCCAGAATCAGGTGACGGACAATTCATAGCAGCTTCCGATCCGGCAGAGCCGCAATTTCCGGAACCCTGAGACGAAAACTGGATTCTCAGTTCTCGATTCCGGCGAGAGACTATCCAAAACCATGATAGTTTCCCCAATAAAATCTTTACCGGAATTATCCGGTGACGGAATGTTGAGAAATCCAGAAACATCCGATCCTTGATGTTCCGACAAATTACCGGACTCCGCAACGACGGTTTCGGGGTCAGACACGAAGTCATTGAATTCAGGATCAGAAGATGATAGATCAATCGGATTGGTAGGATTGAAGGCGGAGTTGAAAAAGTCTTCGGTATCTGAAGGGAGGTGTAAATCGTCAAAGGTGATGTCGAAGTCTCCATCGTCGTAGGGGAGAAAATCGTCGGGTAATGTGAGGTCATCGGAGAATATGGAGGAGCTGAGAGGGGGAATTGGTAGAGAGGCTAACGGATCGGCGACGGCCTGCACTTCTTCGGCCATTGTTAGGGTTTTTCGTCGGAGACGAAGACTCTAGAGTCTTGAGAGAGATTTGTTAGGCATTGACAGCTTCCGTTTGAATGACGTTACTCGGTTCCACGCATTTACAAAGAGCGTTCCACGCACTAAAACAAAGAGATCCATTAATTATTAAATATGAATAGATGAATAGACTAGTCTTATGATTTTATCCGAATATAAAATATTATTTTAAAAATCTCTGAATAAAATATTTATAATAATAAAAAATAATAATATATGGTTCATAGATCATAATAAAAGTTCTTTAAGTGATGTACCAAATATCAAGGGATAAAAAACTGAGATTGAAAAGTTTATATAAGATGTTTCATTTTTGTAAGGTTAAAAATAAGAAAAAGTGAAAATTGTAATAAAGTCTCTGCATATTGGCCTCGATTTAGTCTCTATATATTTTTTTATTCAATTAAGTCCCAAATACCGATAATCGTATTCAATTTAACCCTTTCACCCGGTCAACAGGTCATCCAACTTTCAAAAACTACATTTTTGGCCCAGATTTCAAAGTTTATAATAAATTTGGTCCAAAATTTACACTTTTGGCCCAAATTTTAAATTTTGTTACAAATTTGGTCCAAACTTTACCCTTTTTGCCCAAATTTTAGATTTTTATTAAAAATTCATCATAACTTTAGTTTTTTTTACAACTTTTTTTCTCAAAGAATTGTTTCTAATATGTTTTTCTTTATAAAATCATATTTATACAAAAAAAACGAATTTTCACATAAAAAACTTATATTTTCTATATAAAAACTTTTTTGTATATGAAATATCTAGTTTTTTAAAAATAGATTTTTATAAAAATATGAGATTTTTATTTGAAAATATGTTTTTTTGTATAAATATGATTTTATAAGGAAAAAACATATTAGAAACAGTTTTTTGAGAAAAAAAAGTTGTAAAAAAACTAAAGTTAGGATGAATTCATAAAAAATTCTAAAATTTGGGCAAAAAGGGTAAAGTTTGGACCAAATTTGTAACAAAGTTTAAAATCTGGGCCAAAAGTGTAAATTTTGGACCAAATTTGTAATAATTTTGAAATCTGGGCCAAAAATGTAATTTTTGAAAGTTGGATGACCTGTTGACCGGGTCAAAGGGTTAAATTGAATACGATTACCGGTATTTGGGACTTAATTGAAATAAAAATATATATATAGGGACTAAATCGATTATGAGGCAAATATGTAGGGACTTTATTGCAATTTTCCCTAAGAAAAATGCTATTGTTTCTAACATGTTTGGATTTTATCTCAATTGCATCTCCCTTTTGGAATAATATGAAGTTTTAGCTTTATTTATACAATGATATTTTTTAATTTATTTAATGAAAGTAGTTTTTCTAATTGAAAATCTTCCTATGACACCAGAATCTACCCTTCTCTACCTCGATCTTCCATCTAGTGTTATAAACTTCTAATGGCTGAAGTGGTTCGGCCATCAAGCTAAACAGTTCGTTGATGTTCGTTACAAAGACATAACCAAGTCAGTTTTTTGTATATCTCTTGTTTTTTCTTGATTTGGTAAATAACTCACACACCAGGCTACTCAAAGACTTGGAACTTGCAACTTGAACGTTGGTATGAACTATGAAGGATTTTTTCAGTTTTCAAATTTAGTTAATTAAGTATGGGGTTAAATTCAACAAATAGCAAGATACTTTTATTTATTTTCGAAAGTAAGATGTTATGATAAACAAATAGTGAAAATATGTTCCTACTTTGTTGCATTTAGTCCTTAAGGGGGTGTTTGGTACAGGGAAATGAGACGAGAGAAATGGAATTGTTTATATTTCTCTTGTTTGTTTAAAGCTGAGAAATCTAAAAATGAGAAATAAATGATTTCCCATTCCACCATTTTCTTTCTCTATAAAAAGCGGAGAAATGTAGAGAAAAGAAAAATATGTCAAAACCAAGAACTGAACAAAAAGGCGGAGAATTGGAAAAGCGAAGGGACGCCTTTAATTTACACTTTAAATAATCCTACCGTCATATATTATTTATTTTTCATAAAGTATTAATTTATTTTTGTTATGCAATAGTATAACGTTTTCTTAAATTATTTGTTTATGGTTTTATAGGAATTTGTTATGCAAGCTGTTGTGAGCTATTCATAATTTTGAACAAGTCAATTGAAACTGAAATGACAGAATTTTTTTTTGGAACATAATAAATAAAATATTGGTAAAAAGTAATTACGAAAACAACTTAGAAAATGAATTGATTTGTAAATTAAAAAAAATAAAACCAACTATTAAGAATTAATTAAGAAAATGAAAAATTGGTATTTAAAAGCCTATAATTTGATATATTAATATATAAATTATAATGATATTATTCCAAAAAAAAATGTTTTTTTGAAAAGATATGTATTGTAAAAAATCATTTCCACTTCATTGTTTAATACAACCAAACAAGAGAATTGATTCTCTTGTGTATTTCTTCAGTTAATTCTTTCTTATACCAAACAATAGAATCGATTCTTTTTCTCTAGTTTAATTCTCTTTCTCTTCATTTCCATTTTTTGATTCAATTCCATTTCTCTATACCAAACGCACCGTTTTGTTGATTCCTATAGAAATGGAATTGAGATTCTATACATTGGAGTGTCATTTCCATCAGAATCCTTAGAACTTTTTATTTTTAATGTAGTTTAAGGCAAAAAGATTGGAAAAGTCTTTTTTTATCATAATCTTTACATTGGTATTATTATGTATTTTTTTATGATACCTAGATTTTGTTATAAACATAATGAATTTAATTATTACAACCTTTTGCATTAACCCTTTAAATCTTTACCTTTTATCTGGACCATCCATGAAAAAACACGAGGGGACTTGACTCCATTGTTGATGCATGAGAAGGCTAGAAGGCATATTGAAAAGCGGCAATAAAACATCCTTCTGATAAGGTCTAAATTTTATAAAAAAATTATACAAAAGTTTGTTAAAATGTTATACATTTATTATTTTCATGATGTAGGCTGACAAATGGAGATCATGAAGTGTGGAAGAGAATATCTAATAATATCTATAAAATAGCCAAAATAGACATTTTCAAAACAAACTACGGTGTTGTTTGTTTTTTGTAAAAAAATATTTTCAGACTTTTTATTGTTGTGCAGCGCAGCACACACGCAACTTTTTTCATCTCGCAGCTGTTTGTTTTTTAAAAGTCTTCGGAGTAAAAAACCTATGTGCGTGTTCTATTTGACGCAACACTTGTATTGTCTATTCCAACCTTTTTTTCTTGCTGAAATCTTGATGAATCTTGATTATATGTTGTTGAATTCTTGTTTTACCTTTTTTTCGTTTTTTTTGTTTATTCTTGCAAAATGATTTTTTTTTGTTTTTTATATTGAATAATGATAATGTCTTGCTGAAATATCATTATTTTTTGTTGAAATATCATTAATTTTTTGTTGAAATATCATAAATTCTTGCTAAAATGTCATATATTATTAAATTTTCGGTATTAAAAAACTATTTATATTATATATAATCAGTTTATTTTATTTTTTTAATATCTACAACAACATGCAAATGTTAAAAAACAAACACGCATTTATTACAGTCTGCAGCTGTTTGGTCCACCTCATCTACTGCAGAGGGTGGTAAAGATGGTCCGGAGATTTCATGAATTTTTGCTTCAAAAAGACAAACAACACCTAAGAATTATCTACACCCTTTACGGAGCAAAGGCTTAGCCTCTAGTTAATTATTAAATATGATTAGATTAGTCGTATGATTTTATCCCAATATAAAATATTATTTTAAAAATCTCTTAAAAAAATATTTATAATAAAAAAATTAATAATATATGGTTCGTAGATCATAATAAAAGTTCTTAAGTGATGTACCAAATATTAAGGGATAAAAAAACCGAGATTGATTTTTATAAGGTTAAAAATAAGAAAAATGCTATTGTTTCTAACATGTTTGGATTTTATACCTACTGCATCTCCCTTTTGGAATAATATGAAGTTTTAGCTCTATTTATACAATGATATTTTTTAATTTATTTAATTAAGCTAGTTTTTCACTTTTTCTAATTAAAGATATATATAATGAACTTCATTTTAAAATCATAATATGAGGTTATCTAATAACACGACACTGGTTAAATTTTTATTTATAGATAATATTTACTTTTTTTTTATTAATTTATGTATTAATGTTTTATAGTTTACTACTTTATTTAACTATGTCTCATTATTAATTAATTTATATAATTGATTTGAATTATACAACTATATTTCAATTTATGAATACACTATGGGTGTTCGGCAAAAACGTGTAAAATTATAAAAAATCACTTACCTAAAACAAACTATTAATTTTAAAAAGAGAAAATGACAAAAATAGCCAATTATCCTAATCACTTTGCGGAAAATAGCCAAAAAAAATCGAATTTGTAAAAATGGCCACGAAAATCGCAGATGGGAATGGTCCATCTGCGATTTGCACATTCCATCTGCGAATGTACAAGTACCTAAAGCACAACTGTGCTTTAGGTACTTATACATTCGCAGGTGGAAAAGTCCATCTGCGATTTACACTGTTCACCTACGATTTTCGTGATGAAATTCTATAAAACGATTTTTTTCCCTCATTTTTCACTCTTTAATATAGAAAAACTCTCTCTCTCTCTCTCTCTCGGGGATTCCTTTTGACGATTTTTGAAGAAAATGGACGATTACTTCAACAATCCCGAAAATACGGTTAGATTTTAACTCTTTTTAAGTTTTAATTAACATTTATTTAGTATATGTCTTTATTATTTTATTATTTATTGTATTAGTTAATGTAAAAAAAGAAATTATATTGTTTGTGATAGGGTAATTTTGTTGTATTTGATAGTTATAATATCTGTTATTACTAAACTTGAAGTTTAAATGCTATTTTGTTAGTGGTTGTATGTGTGTACAAGAGAGATAGAGACTGCGTAGAGTGTGCATCAGTAGTTGTA